TCTATTTTGTTAAAATTGCTTTGATTTCTGCCGTTTTTTTTTTCTTTTTAATATTTTTTATTAAAAGAAATTATAGACATTTCATATTTCCTCTCTACTCATCGAAAAGTAAAAGTATCGAAGTTTTTATACTATTGCGAGCTACGGGACAGTGGTAAACAACTGAGCTCTAGAGGATTAAGCGCAGCTGTTGCTATTACGCATCATAACAACCCGGCTTGTTATTGTAAGTACGATCTATTTACTAAATAACAATATGGCACAATGCCCGCTATGCAGCAGTACCATCAGCCGAGAAGAGAAAAATATTTTATGTTGCGTTAAATGCAAACTTTTATTTCACAGCAGGTGCGGTAAACTCAGTGATAAAGAGTTTGAAGCTCAAAAATCCTCAAAAAAAGGATGGATATGCGCTAGTTGCGATCAGCCTAAAAAGATTCCACCAGGTGGTGAAAACCCAGATCAAAGTCACAATACTGAGCCTACACCATCAGAAATTCTGGCAGCAGTAAAGCGGCTAGATATTTTTTTCAACCAGGAATTAAAAAATATTAAAGTAGCGCTAGACAAGTACGGAGATCTGAGCTTCGAAGTAAACACTAGGCTATCTAAAATTGAAAACCACTTAGAGGGACAATCTAAGAAGCTTGAAGAAATAATTTCAGAAAATAAAGCCCTCAAATCTAAAGTCGGTGAACTGGAGGTCAGGCTGAATAAAGCCGAACAGGGCTTGCTTAGTAGATCGCTCGAGATACGGGGCATCCCGGTTCGAGCAGGTGAGACCCCCGCAGCCCTGGTTACAAGTATTGGGGCCGGTCTGGGAATTAAAATCAATGTCGAAGATATAGATACTGTGCTGCGCCGAAGAGCAAGAAAAGATGACCCTCGACCACCGCCTATAATCGCGAAATTCGTCAGGCAGTCAGTGAGAGACGACCTGGTGCAGAAGCGAAAAGTAAAAAGGGACTTCTCGACGCGGGAAATCGGTTGGCAGGAAAATGACTGCCACCGTATTTATCTCAGCGAGGAAATGACCCCGACGAACAGGTACCTCTACTGGCTCGCTCGGCAGAAGAAATCAGCAGGGAAAATAAAATATATATGGTTCTCCGGCGGCAGACTGCGGTGTCGAAAGGATGACGGTCATCAGGTTGTCTTTATCGACCAGAGTCAAGACCTAGACGTCTTCGGCTGACTCTTCGATCCCTGTTTACTCCTCAACATCGATAAACAATTTGGCTTAGTTCACAGGACTTACACTGAAAATCTGAAATGTATGTTATGTTACTACCGGAAATTTTTGATTAATTTATTTCTATTGATTATTGCATTCAAAATTTTTTTTCTTTTTAATGGTTTTTTTTCTTATATTTTTATTTTTACATTATTTCATCTAATGTATCATATCCGATCCAGCGTCTGCTCACCAAATTCTGACTTTATTTTCCTCAAGCCTAATCATGTCTAGCATCCTTAATACCTGTCACGTCAACTCCCAATCCCTCCCAGCCCACTATGATGAATTCCTTGAATACTTTACCCATAATTGTTACCATATCATTGCAATTTCCGAAACCTGGCTCAAGCCTTACATCCCTTCCTCATCTGTTTCCCTTCCTAACTACACACTAATCCGCCACGACCGGACGAGCCGGACTGGCGGAGGTGTAGCGTTGTATGTTCACGAATGCATGAAGACCCGAATACTCCACTGCTCTCCTCCATCCGATCACCCACATGTAGAGTTCCTAATCGCTGAAATTTCCTTTGATACATCTCCTATCCTTTATGTCGTAGTGTATAGACCTCCTCTTGTTCCCTTTGATCCATCATTTGAATCATCCCTCTTCAACTTTGTTCCTCTTTATACCAAAATAATCATCTCCGGAGACCTAAACACTAATTTCCTTTCCGATTCCAGCGATAAATCATACCTCGAAAACCTTTTTTTCTCTCTTCATCTTTTCATTGTTCCTTTTTCGCCCACTCATCACACCCCCAGGTCCGATACCTGGTTGGACCATTACATTATCGACTCCGCTCAGAACCTCCTTTCCTCCTCACAAGTACCGGTCTCCTTTTTATCCTCTCATGACCTAATTCAAATTTCATATAATATCCATACTCCTCCGATCCTACCTAGAACCATAACTTTCCGTAATATTGATGTCCTCACTCGTGAAAAAATCTTACCCTACCTGGAAACCCTTGATTGGAATGGAATATATTCCTGTTCATGTATTGACGCTATGGTTGATATTTTAACTTCCAACCTCCGTAATATCCTTGATTCCCATGCTCCCATCAAAACCTCTACCTTTCGTCGCCCCCCTGCTCCCTGGATGTGTCAGCAAATTAAAGATCTTCAGAAGAGACGCGATGCAGCCCGCAGACGCTTTAGACGCACTAGACTCGCTGACGACTACCAAGCGTTTAGGGTGCTCCGTAACCTGACACAAACCAATATCCGAAGAGCCAAATCCTCCTATTTCCACGAAGCCCTTTCAGCAGCTCCTGATTCCAAAACCAAATGGCAACTCCTTCGTAAACTCTCCCTCTGTGACTCTTCCAGATCACCTTCCTCAGCAGCCTTTCCAGTCAAACCTGATGATTTAAATTCATATTTTATATCAGCTTCCTCCTGCATTCCTCCATCAACCTTTTCCTTCTTTACTCCTGGAATATCATTTAACGACGACAACTTTTATTTTTCAGATATTTCTCCTACAGACCTCATATCCGCCGTCATGAAATCTCATTCCAATTCCATTGGTCCAGATGGTATTCCCGTCAAATTAATCAAATTATGCCTACCTGAAATCCTTCCCGCTCTACTTTTCATCTACAATTTCTCCCTTCAGAACGCAATATTCCCTTCCTCATGGAAAAAAGCCATTGTCCGTCCTTTACTTAAAAATCCTAACCCTTCTTCCCCTGAAGATTACCGTCCAATTTCAATTCTGTCTAACCTTGCAAAACCTCTAGAACGAATAGTCCAATCCCAAATTTCCAACTTCCTAGAACAGTCCAATCAACTTGACCCTTACCAGTCTGGTTTTCGACCAGGCTACTCCACACAATCCGCCCTAATCAAAATCGTTAGTGATGTTCAGTCAGCCATAGATGATAAAAAACTAACGGTCCTTATCCTCCTGGACTTTTCCAAAGCCTTTGATACCATTAACCATTCCATCCTTTTCTCCAAATTGAAATCGTTATCCTTTTCCAACAGCTCTATCCTTTGGTTTCAATCATTCCTCTCTCAACGTACCCAAGCAGTCTCTATCCCGAACCAACCTTTATCATCCTATCTAACTCTGTCCTCAGGAGTGGCACAGGGCTCCAGCATATCTCCTCTCCTTTTTAGTTCATATATTAACGACCTTCATAAATCAATCCTTCACTGTTCACATCACCTTTATGCCGATGATTCCCAAATTTACCTCTCCTTCGCTCCCTCTGAATGGCATGATGCGTTTGCCAAAATACAAGAAGACCTAAATCGGATTTGTGCCTGGGCAAGTGAAAATGGATTAAGGTTAAACGTTGCTAAAACCCAAGCCATTGTCCTCGGTTCCAAACCCCTTCTCAGATCAAATACCAACATTCCTCTCCTGTACCTGAATGACCAACCCATCACCTTCAACACTTCAGTTAAAAACTTAGGTGTTATCATAGATCAAACCCTCTCCTGGAATCACCATATTTCCCTCATATCCCGACGTTCAATTTCCATCCTGAAACTCTTCCATCGCTTCCGCCATCTCCTACCCATATCCACACGTAGACTCCTAGTATCCGCCCTCATCTTCCCCCACATTGACTACGGCTGTGTAGTGTACGGTGGCCTCTCATCGGAACTTGGAGTCAGACTGAAAAGAATAATGAATGGCTTAGTACGATTTGTCAATGGGACCCCGAGACGTTCTCATGTTTCCCACTACTACGCCGAGTCAGGGTGGCTCTTCCCCTCCTTCAGAAGACAGTACTTCCTAGGTACATTCCTTTACCAAATAATCTATAATCATCGTCCGTCCTACGCATTCAATCTCCTTCAATTCAAGTCATCTATCCACTCCCTCTCCACAAGATCTCGTCCTTCCGACCTTTATACCCCTTTCCACAAATCGGCCTCATTTCAACACTCCTTTATTGTCCGATCCACCACATTTTGGAATTCCATCCCACTTAAAATCCGCCATGCACCATCCTTATCCACATTTAAAACCCTCCTTTTCCAATTCCTCCTTACAATTCAATCAGACGCTGGGTAGCCTATATTGTATTATTATACTATTGTTGCATTGTATGTATGTATATGTGTATGTATGTATATGTATATATATATATTAATATATGTATATTGTATATATACTATTGTACTATTATTGTATTCTCACTATTATTGTATTATTGGGTGTATATATTGTGTATGTACGATTACACTATTATTGTATTTCGATTATACTATTATGTTCTACGAACATACTACTATTACTATAACATCTTTATTATTATTTGTCGCTCATTTATAATTTCATAGCGTATTGTGTATAGCAACTATTTTGCAGTATTAGGACATTATTTCTCATATTATGGCTTCCGATATCTGTACAGTTATGTAAACACTTCTTTTATCCCTTATTTTTTAGTTGTTTTTTTTGTTTGTTTGTTTGTTTTTGTTTATTGTAATATACATTTTGGCCAGATGTAATGTTTAATTTATGTACAATATTGTTATTCTCAAGGGACGTAGTCCCAGAATAAAGTTGATTCTTCTATCTATCTATCTATCTATATTGTAAAATTCCATATAAATTGCATATAAAATTGTAAATCTTATAAGAGGGCGTTGATGGTTGTATTACTCTCTAAATTCCTACAAAACAAACAAATTCTATAACTCGTTTAAAGATTATTTAGTTTTCATCTTACCAAGATTTCACTCATGTTATAGATAAATTATAATCTAGAGTCATTATATTAATTGAAACACTTACCCTTCTTAATTCATTCATAAATGAAGAAGAATTTGCGACTATTGACTCTGTCGAAGAAATTCGCGTGTAGATATGGTTCAATAATCCAACTTTGGCTTTTAAAGCAGGAAGAAAGCTACCAATATGACACAAATAAGCATGAACAGCAATCTATAAAAAAATATTTGTAAAAAAACAAATATCTATTTTAGATGTTAATGATCAATTACTTTTCAGTGTAAAATGTTTAATATTTAATGCCTGATGGATCCCAGCATCCCTAGACCAAGCCCTATCATTAAATAAGCTGCTTGGCCTCCTCCTATGTGTTATATATTAATTTATGCATATACTTAGATATAATACGTATACATACACTCCTATAGAAATTATATTTTAAATAGATTCCTAACAAGCTAAAATGTGACATTACAACTCAAGAAGAGTCTGGGGTTCACCCCAACTGCCTCTTTTCAACTGTTTCCTTCAAAGCTGGCACTCCCAGTACTCCGGAGGTACTTCATTTCTGCAGCAGTAGCTCTACTCCAGTGCCTGTCCAGCGGGACTCAGCTCTCACTTCCATAAATAAAGGTGTGTAAATATATGGACTTAAAAATATGTAATTTTACCGCCCTCCTCGTGTTCCATTCGATAACTTCTTTGAATCCTCCCTTTTCAACGTGGTTTCCCATTACAACAATATTATTATTGCCGGCGATTTTAACGTGAATATGCTTCCACAATCTCCTGAAAAATACTTCCTAACTGGCCTTGTTTACTAAACTATGCCAATCCCTTCCAAGACTGTCAGGGATATTGTCATAATAATTCTGCTTTAAGAGCTGGTGAAAATTTATTGCTGTGGACTGTAAAATTAGAGGAGTTAAAGGATTAAAGAAGTGAATGAGTAAAATTGATTGCTATATTTTATTACATGTATTTTATAAGGAGGTTAAATATAGGTGGGTTGGGATACTTGCATTTTTTCTTTTTCTTGTTGTGCCAGTCTTCTCGTTCATCTTCCCTCTCTTCCTTTCTTGGCCCCTTGCCGGCCGCTGTAGTGTTTTACTCCATGTTTAATAAATCAGTGGAATCACAAAATTTTCAACTGGCCAGTCTAGTCAATCACGGTACGTGAGCGTCTACACTTCAACAATGGCGGCGTCACAACAATGACTGAGGTATATATGCAGCATAACAGCTGTGTTGTGCTTACTTGATTTAATTCAAATATCAAGTTTGATGTGTTCCCTAAACAAGCCGCCCACCTAAATTAAGCTACGCTAATTTACAATGAAAACAAAAAGCGTAACATAGTGCTGTGATGTGCTAATACAAATTTGGTAATACAAAATAAAAAAGCTTGTCATCTTGTTTGATAAAATTAAAATAAGCAATCAAATTAATTAAATAAATTAATGGTACTGGTGAATATAATAAAAAAGGAGAATAATCAAATAATAATAAAATTAATAAACAAATTGGTTAAGCAAACACTAATGGTTAAACAAAGTAACGAATTTGACACTTATATTTATAAAACTAATGAAAAAATATGTATATATATGTTACAATGGATGCTAAACATCAAGATTGGGGGAAAATAAGGGAGCGAGCGATACCACTGGACGAACATAAAACATGTTCGAAGGAGTCCTCACAGTTACTGTTCGCACTACGCCGTCTTTCCCAGGATGGATGTCTGAGATTCTTGCCACTGGCCAATGTCCGACGATTGATCTCTTTTCGATCATGATGACTAGATCGCCTTTCTTCAGGTTTGGAAGGTTTTGCTTCCACTTCACCTTCTGTTGAAGATTGTGAAGATAATCCCGGCTCCACCTATGCCATATAGATCTGATATGAGTTTGAAGAGAATCCCATCTATCCGCGGGCTTCTTATGAACTACTTCATCAACAAGCTCCGGTATCGCAGCTAAGGATGAGCCAATCAAGAAATGTGCAGGGGTGAGGACATCGAAATTTTCCGGATCTTCATTTAGTGGCGTAAGAGGCCTCGAGTTGAGAATTCCTTCAATTCTTACGAATGCTGTAGAGAGCTCCTCAAAGGTGAATGGTTGAGCTCCCATAATTCCTGCTAGTAAGGATTTGGCAGATTTGACGCCTGCTTCCCAGCCTCCCCCAAAGTGAGGGGCTCTTGGTGGGATGAATTTCCATTCAATGCTCTTTTCGGAGAGGCTACGTATGATTTCATCCTCATGCTTAGATATGAACTGGTATACATCCTTGAGGAACCTGCTAGCTCCTACAAAGTTGGTACCGTGGTCAGACCATATTGACTGAGGGATTCCTCTTCTTGATAAAAAACGGTCCAACGCTGCCAAGAATGAAGTGGTGGAGAGGCTAGATACAACTTCTAAATGAAGAGCCCGCGTTGACAAACAAATGAATAGACACAAATATGATTTACTGACTGCGGCCTTCCTTCGATTAGATTCTTTTATTAAGAATGGGCCTGCGTAATCCAATCCTACCTGCAAAAATGCACGATATTGTGCAAAGCGTGCCTCAGGTAGGGGTGCCATGATTGGATTAAGTGGTTGTGCTTTCCGGATACGACACCTAATACATTGCTGAATACGACTTCGTATAAGACGAAGAGCACCTGGAATCCAGAATTCATTTCGGAGTAGAGATAGTGTAAGAGAAGGTCCGGCATGATAGTTATTTTGATGTATGTGATCTATCATGAGGCTAGAGAAGTATGAGTTGCGAGGGAGAAGCATTGGGTGTTTCTTGGAATAATCCATAGGGGCTTCTTGCATGCGGCCGCCCACCCTGATGATTCCGCCCTCGTCCATGAAAGGTGATAGCTGTGAAAGCTCCCTAGTTGACATGCCCCTTTGTATCATGTTAACACAACGCAATTTGGCAGCTGAGAATTCTTCCCCGGTGATATTCCCAGAGAGTGTTAATTCCTTATCACGGGCATGCCGAGCTATTCGAAGAATCAATGCAACTACTCTAATAAGTACATTCACATTTGAAAATCGCTTCATCCTTGAGTCGAGAGTGAGTTCCGATTTGCCTTTTGCTTGAATGTTGGTAGTAGTGGTTAGAGCATGAGCTGGAGTTTTGAATTCTGCAACCGGCCAATTTTCGACGGGGCCACAGAGCCACTTTGGCCAGTGCCACCATAAAGAGTTATTGAGAAGAATATTCGGGAGACAGCCACGGGACGCCAAATCACTTGGGTTTTCTTCGGAGGCAATATGTAGCCATCTGCTACGTGGCACCAAGTCCTTAATCTGGGCTACCCTGTTTGCTTCGAAAACCTTGAGCTGGTGCGTTCCAGAGTGGATCCAGCTTAATACCACCTTGGAATCAGTGAAGCATATTGGAGGTTCCGAATTGAACCTAGAAACTTTAATAGAAGAGAGTATCCGACTCAAAAGTAGGGCACCGCAAAGCTCCATGCGAGAAACTGATAGGTATTTTATTGGGGCCACCTTTGTTTTGGATTTAATAAGGTTAACGTTGGTGAAACCATCCGGTGAATGGGTGCGGAGATAGACGCTAGCAGCATAACCATCGTTCGATGCATCACTGAAACCAATCAATATAAATGATGCTTCGTGACAACTTATATATCGAGGAATAGATAAGCACGATATGATGGGCCATTCTTGAATGATCTGAGCCCACTTCTCAGCCAATTTAGGGGGAAGATAGACATCCCAATCAAGACGCGCACGCCAGATCTGTTGAAGCAGTACCTTAGCAAGGAATATAACGGGTGCTAGAAAGCCTAAGGGATCAAATATACGGGCTATTGCTGAGAGTACAAGGCGCTTCGTCACTGGTGAGGGTGGTGGTTGGAAAATAGAATAAGAAAATGCGTCTGAAAGAGGATTCCATATTAGGCCTAAGATCATAATAGATTCCATCTCATCTTGACGAAGTTGAATGGGAGTGAATTTAGTGTCTTCTGGCAGAAGCTCGGGTATAGTGGACGCCCATTTGCTTAAAACAAACCCCCCTTTTTCAAAGAACTCACACAGTTGTCGTTGCAGTTCTTCTGCTTCTTCAACAGAGTCGGCTCCACTGACTATGTCATCGACGTATATTGAACTATTTAACACTTTGGCCGCCTTGGGATAATTAGATCCTTCATCCTTTACCAATTGTTTAAGCACTCTTAATGCCTGATAGGCGCTCGACCGGGTACCATAAGTGACAGTGTTTAGTTCCATTTCTTGTATCCTTTCAGATGGATTGCTTCTCCATAGGATGTGCTGCAAATATCGATCAGAAGGGTGCAGTAAGATTTGCCGATACATTTTTACAATGTCTGCACAGATTGGAATTGCGTACAGCCGAAAACGGATCAGAACTTCACAAATATCTAGTTGAAGTTTTGGACCTGATAAAAGGATTGAGTTAAGGGATCCAGTGGGTGAGGTACATGACGCGTCAAATACCACTCTGATTTTCCTTCCAGCAGGTTTTTCTTGCCAGACGGCATGGTGATGGATTAAGTAATCTGATTCTTTCTCTGCTTTGGACATATGCCCTAAATCTTCATACTCTTGCATAAATTCTCGGTATCTGATGGCAAGTTCATTATCTGTGTGAAATTTTCGCTCTAAGTTCAGGAATCTCCTCTCCACAACTTCGCGATTCCTCCCTGGGTGTCCAGCACCAAGCTTTAACGGCAGACGCACTACATACCTGCCTTCCGGAGTTCGAGAGTGCGTTTCGATGAAATGTTCCTCACATAGCTTGTCGTCTGGATCCTGGCGATCAACTGGTCTTGGTTCCTCTATCTCCCAAAATGCCTTAAGCTGTTTTTCGATGATTCTTTGAGATCCAGTGAAGAACGAAGACAGCGCTGAAGTTGAAAGGCTCGTTGTCTTTCCCATGACCACCAAACCCAACACGGTTGGCTGGAGAAAAAGGTCGTCCACACCGCTCCTGAATGGTGCACCGTTGATAATAAGTGGGTACAAATCAATGCCGATCAAAAGATCTATCGTACCGGGTGTATGGAAGCATTCATCTGCCAGTTGATATCTTGATAACTGCTGCCTGACATGAGCTTTCAACGGAGTGCTTGGAAGTAGTGGAGCGATTGAGTTCACAACGATGGCTTTTGTGATGAATTTCTCGTTGCCGAAACGTGGTTGCAGAGTGCATTCAATTGATCCGTTTGGCGTCACGACTGGATTACCACCAAGACCAGCGATGCTAATGTTTAACGGATTGGTCTTGAATCCAAGCTTGCTTACAATGGCTTGTGAGATGAAGGAGTGCTGGCTTCCGGAGTCTATTACTGCTCGGATTGTGTGCAAATTATGCTCAGGGTCCAAAATGCTGAGTTGAGCCGTTCCTAGTACATAATAGGATTCAGTGTTATGGTGTTGGGAAGTTGAGCCAAATCCTGCAAAATGTGTAGAGGGAGGAGTGCTGCGTTCATTTGATTTAACCTCGTGCAGTAAGCTGTGATGCCGAGCCTTGCAGAAACGACATGTAAACTTTGACTTGCACTCTGATGTCTTATGATTTTGGCGAAGACAATTCTTGCAACATTTCAGACTGCTAACGAATGCTATGCGATCTTCTACGGAGATGTTGCAAAAATTAAAACATCCTGGCAGATCATGTTGTTCTTTGCAGAACGGACAACATCGTGGTGGACTTTGGTATCGGGCTGTCCGAGGAGTAGAGAAAGGTGATTTGATGCTGTTAGGAGAATTGCTGGAATTTCTGTTAGGTGGGGTTTTAGTATGTAGGAAACTCGAAGTTCTGTACTTTGGTGATCCACGACTTGGAAATTGTGAGTGCTGGTACTGTGCTTTAACCCGATCGTCTTGAGTAGTGCTTGAAGAGGAAGCAATGTCTCTTGAGATTGTGAGGGCTATCTTCCTTTGTCTGACGAAGGTGATTACGTCGTCTACCGTTGGGAATGTGCTTGTTGAGGCCCTTGCTATCTCAAATTGCCTTCGAGTCTGCGAATCGAGAGCCCTTAATGCCAGAAACGCCAACAGAACCTCGGATG